CCGGGAATATATGGTCAGATGCCGCGATCATGGAAGAACAATGGTCTTCTAAGAGAAGCGACATCAGTAGAGGGAGGAGCCTGGAAAAGATGCTATCAATATCTCTGTTTTCAACTTCATCGTCTCTTTTTCACATAAACTTCTTGACCTCGGGACAATCCAAAATCTGCTATTTTGGCTACATAGTTTTCACCAACTAAAATGTTCCTGGCAGCCAGATCCCTGTGAATAAACTGAAATTTGAAAAAAAAAAAATCAAGTATTTTCAGCATCATATTTGCTTTTTCGTTTCATTTTGTTAACACAATGCCTTAGGGGCAAAAACTTTGGGAAATAGAATAGTGTGAAAATGGGTTTTAAAAAGTCACCTAATCCAGCTCCCTTAAAGTTCCTCTCTAAAATCCTGTTAATGGGTTCTGTCAAATGACCCACCACATCTTGAGAGAAGCATTTCAGGGAAAAAACACTGGTTGTTAAATCTTCCTGTTGCCATTTTAGTCCACCACTACTCAGCATCATTTCGAGCCAAATGAAGCTAAGGTCAGTTAAAGCACCTCGCCAGACACATATGATGCAATTCACTAGATAAATATATATTGTCATGGCTGGGCATTAACATCTATATAAATAGATGGACTATTAACAAAGAGATTAAAATTAGGGAGATTATAAAAGGAATTAAATAAGAGAGGTGACTGAAAAAAGTACAGTTACCTAATCTGATTCTAGAGAGAATTTCTAAGGAAAGATGTCCAAAGCAAGGTCCTTACAACAAACCTGTTTTTGGCTCAAGTAGTCCATCCCCCGGGCCACATCTGCCGCAAAATGAAGCAGCTGTTGGGAAGATAGTGTGGAAGCGGTGCTGTTGGCAATGGCAAATGCCGGGTCGGTCTCCAGCACTCGGCTTTTGCGTAGGAAGTCCAGCAGGTTTCCATGGGGAGCATACTCGATGGCAAGGTACAGGTAGCCTGTGGGGAAAGGGAGAAAAACCTCCTTACTAGTGGACCTAAACAGCTTTGAAGTTTCTGAGATGTGCTGTGGTCCTTGGAATTGCATATAAAACTTCGTTTCATCTAAAAGTACCATCAGTAATCCTGGGGAAAGGAGGGAGATAAGTGTCATCCTGCAATACTTAAAGGGTGTCATGCTTGAACTCAAAGTTCCCCTCTTTCTAACCCCCTCCCCTTTCTTACCAAATGTGGACTAACAAGGAGGGCTTCTTGAATGCTTTCACCTACTCACTAATAACAATAGGAGGGAATCAAAGCATTTGCCTCCAGAGGATCTAAGACATCTAGTCCATGTCACCTTTTATTTTTTATTCAATACTAATTGAGAACTTAATATGAGCCAGGCATGCTATTCCAGTCAATCTCTAGTTTTTCTTAAGGTTATTTAAGAAATAACAAATAAATAAAAACAAGAATAACAACAAAAACCCAAACTGATTAAATATCCATAGCAGCAAAACCCACAAGTCATAACTTTCTCCTGCCTTCTATTTCTCCCTAAAATCCACACTAAGTCACCAGACTGGTCAGCAGAGTCTAGTGTCAAAGATTGTATTTTGCTTACAGAAACCAGAAAAATACGACTTTTAGGGGAAAAAAAACAATAGTTCCTAGAAGAAATTATGGTCTCTTGGCTTATTTTTATTCCAAATGGTTTTTCTCTTTTTCTTCTTAATAAAAGAATACCTTCTTTGATAAAAACATTGTTCTTTAGAGCCAGCAAAAATCAGAGTGGTTTTACTGTCTTTCAAAGGTAGTTTTTTTTGTATCCCACTTTTTAAAATGTAAAGTGTTGAATGATTTTGAACCTAAAAGATATTCTAATAAGTTGAAATTCTGCCCCCAGAAAGTCTTATAGTACTGAATCCTGCTGCGCTAAAAGGAAAGATATACTTCCATTCTGGTATGAATGTGCTTTCTCACTCGCTTATTGAATTGTAAATTTGAAAAACCAACCAATTATATGCTAATGTGATGATCGAGCACAAGTTTAAAGACGTCTCTTTTTGTGTTGTTGGTTTTCATTTTTTTAAACTTTCATCTACTGCTGTCCCGTGTTATCGTTTTCAGGAAACTATTCAAAAATAAATGTTATTACTTCATTATTTAAGCTAAGGACATGATCTGGCTTTCAGAATTACACCCTTATTGGATCACAGAATGATATATTATATGAAGCACTAGTATTTTTAGTTTAATAAACTGAGGAAAAGGAAACAGTCTCTTCTATTGTTGGTTTTGTGCTGCAAAGTCAACAAGAGGTTGTCAAGTTTGTAAATAATTACTTTGTGGAGCTTTTTAGTGGGAGAAAACTTTTCCAGGAGAAGTTATGTGTAATCATAGATTCAGAACTACAAACCCACGTAGCATGCAGAGATAAACCCATAAAAGTACTCGATAAATATTTGAATTAATAATAGAAGTTGAACATTAACAGCATGTGAGACATAGGGTAATTGTAAAGCCCCAATGTAATTTGTATAGGAAATGGTACAATTTGGAAATAACAGAGTTCTGTTAGATATAAGCTTGTTATTATTATTTTACCTAAGTATCATCAGTGTTTTCATGTTACAGTAGATTGTTGGCATTCAGATTATCGGTTGTTTGGGTTTGGAGGGAAAGATGAGAGGCTAGGAGAAGAAGAAGAGACGCACTTCACTCTTCCTGGTGCCAAGGGCTCCCGCAGTCTACCTAGTAGTGGCAGCTGTGAAAATCTCCGGATTAGCGAGCATAGAGGCTTGTGGGGGGCAGGGATACCTTTGGGCAATAATGGCTGAACACATCAGAGGGCAAATGATCCAGCCTTAGGTCTTACCTCCAAAAAGATGCCAAACCTCAGCACACTATTAATGGAAGTAGACATTTGGATTGAAACTGCAACTTAAAAAAATAGATAACATTCTAAGACTATTATCTTTTCTAATTTCAATATAGAATGTGTTTGTTTTAAAAAAAAAAATCTCTGGTAGGAATGACAAGAAAAGAGCATCTTACCACGATGTTCACACGCTCCCAAGAGATTGATGATGTTTGGGTGGTGTCCAAGTTTACAAAGGACCTCCAATTCCCCTGCAAAGTCCCTGTGGTCATCTTTGGAGGCATATTCTGGGAAGAAAGTCAAGAGTTATGATCTCTCTTCATTATTCCTCTTCAGAAATAACTGTCCCTTCCTGCTCACTGAGACCTTCAGGTGCCCTCAGTCACCATTAGGTCTGAAAAACTGTAGAGAAATCAAAAAGATTACTCTGAGGAAGAAAACTGTCACTGTCAACACGGCTGATACTTCTGTGTCGTTGGGGGCTGTCCTGTGCATAGTAGGGTGTTTAGCAGAATCTCTAGCTTCTCCTCACTAGATACCAGTAAGCCAAACAAAAATGTTCCCATACGTTGCCAGATGCCTCCCACCCTTGGTTGAGAATCACATCTCTAAAATGTTCTCATCCGAGCCCTGGAATACCCAGGGCAATGACTCGATGCAGAGGGAGCTGCCGCCACCTGTAGACTCTTCCTCTTCCAGCTGGGTCTGCTGTCCAGAGACAGATATGCTGAGGAATCAGACCAAATTTCATTGACACATCACCAATAATGCACACACCTGACTTTATTCAATAATTTTAACTTGCTTGCTTTTTCACAAACCAGTCCTATGGTAAAAACTCAAATCTCAATGACTTTTTTATAAAATTTGCTTGGTAGTCAGGAGACTGACTTGAATTTGTTTTTATCCGTCCTGTCTCTTCACTAGCACTTTAATCAGAGGGAGAATCACCAGGCACCCACCAGGCTGCAGGGAAGGCTCTTTGGTTGATGCACAAACCAGTCAGCCTTGAGTCGGTGACAGTGTGCTGTTATCATTTTCTGCATGATAACATTGGAGTGCTGGAGTCTGTGTGCATACCCGAATGTGCTTGGAAGTGATGAGAATATTTCGTATGGGCTAAGGGTACTTGTAAGACTAACTAACAGGCAATCCCAAGTCAGATACCTTGTTCATACCATAGGAGCCTGAGGGTCGATGCCCTCGGAGCATTTTTAAAATGAAATTGTTTTTATAACAAGGTCGTCCCCTGACTTCAGGAACTGCCCTCGTTTGAATGCATCACTTTCCCTGTAGAAATTTTCTGCCCTAGTGACATTAAGGTGTTTTCCCTCTTCACCTGGGCGTGACCTAGCAGTCAGGCTCAGGTCAGAGCCCAATACAGACTAATTTAAGAGGTTCTACACCCTCTCTCCTCTCACTGTCCTTACTGCTCCCCCAAACTCCTTGTGGCTAAAGTAGCAAAACCAAAAAGGGATTTCTGGCTACTAAGCAAGGTATGTGTGAGTGTACATGAGTGTGTGTTTGTGTGTGTGTGTGTGTGCGTGTGCATGCACCCGCTGAAACATTACTATCTCTAAGCATAGTTAATATTTTGTTTATATTGTTTTGTTTTCTGAATGATGTTTTCTAACAATGCACAAAGCAGCAATGATTAAGATTTAGGGTGAATTCTCATCTGAGGCTCAATACTGCAGGGAAACCCCATCCATGACATTGGTGTCCTTATTACGGACCCGCCCAACAAAAAGTTAATTACGTCCCCAGCTCTCATGCACTGCTGTTCAATCCTGACAACGGTGCAGCTTCACAGTCAAACTGCTGTTTCACTCATAAGAGAAGATGGTTAGTAGAGCCAGGGAGCTAGGCATTCTGCTTTCTCAGAAGACGTTCATTTTCCAATCTTGTTACATGCATAGGCATCAAGCAGTCGTGGCTAGGAAAGACTTAGTTCTTGTGACCTTCCATCAGTGGTTTTCAAACTTGTACAGAAGAATCATTGAGAAAGTGTGTTAAGAACACAGATTCTCGTGTGCCACACAAGAAATTTGAATGTAGTAGAAGTGGGGGTGGAAAAGCCCAAGTGCATGCATTTCTTACAATGTCTCCAGGAATTTTGATGCAGATAATTCATGAAGACAGTGGTTTGCAAAGTGTGCTCTCCAATCTCTCAGCATCAGTATCACTTGGGAACTAATTAGAAATGCAAATTCTCAGGCCTTGAATCATACTTACTGAATCAAACTGTGGAATGGGGCCCAAGAGTTTGTTTTGTTTTGTTTTGTTTTTAAACAAGGCTTCCAGGTAATTCTGATGCACACTGAATTTTGAGGACCACTGCATTAAAAGAAACAATACTGCTCCCCATAAGTTAGCAGTGTATGACAGAAAATCTGCATTCTCACATCCCAAGGAATCAACACAGTGGTGTTTAAATAGCTCGTGCCTTCATATTTACATCCTGATCCCTATCACAGGCTGACCTCAAAGGAAACATCACCTTCAGTTGCACATAGCAGCTGTATCTGACATCATGCCAATGTTTTGCTTAGAGAATGCAAGGCCGTAGAGGAAAGATTCAACAGGAAGTCAAGTTTTCTCCCCACCCTACTGAAATGCTGACTCGATCTGGCTGAGCACTGACCTTTCATCCTCTTAATGGCAGCGTCCATCCGTAATCCGTCCTTCTTGATGCGCGCCTTTAGAACCTGGCCAAAATTACCCTCCCCAATCACATCTTGAAATTTTATGTCATTCCAGTCAAGCACTGGATAAATTGTAGGATCTGGGTTGTTTTTGGCCTTCCTGTTCAGGGCCAGGGTTCCTGAGTTGAACTGTACAGTTGGTTCTTCCCTCTGAAAAAATAATGTTTTCATGGTTTTATGTCAGGATTTTTCCTAATTCTAAGGTACATAATACCTCCTGGTTTGTATCCATACCAGATGAAAAAAAGATATGTCTAATTCTAGAATGGAGATGGAAATAGGTTTTATCTAACAAACTCATTCTGATGAACTGGTTGCCCAATGAGCTGTATTGGCACAATTCTGGGCCTCAGTGGGGAAGCACGCCATGATCGATTAACGATGTCTACAGAGGGCCGGGAAGCTGGGCTAACAGCATGTATGCCATGACATGGCATGTTCCCGAGTTAGTCACCCTTGAGTTTCCACTTTGCTGTAGGATGAGCAAGTGTTCAGTTCTATTTGGAAAATAACTCAACAATTCTATCCGAGGAAGTCACAGCATGTACCTCAGTGAGGGCTTTTCTAGTATCACCTTGGTGCATTCTTGGCTCTCACTCCCTTTCTCCCACCCATCCTGAGGCTTAGAATCTCCACGCACACTCTGGAGCAGAGTCTGGCCCCAGGATGACTGCTGTTTAGAGCAGAGTTCAACAGAGTGTCTCCATTCCTCCTGAGTTTAAGTGGCTGCTGATGGTATCATGGCAAGCTCCTTCAGGGCTACCCACACCTTTCTGGTCCTTCCTCACCCGCAACAGCCCGAGTTGGGCCAGCTCTTGCATGGAGTCAGATAACAAATCTAATCTTGACCTCCACTGGGGGGAATCTCGAGGGCTCATGTACACGAAGATGTACCTCATTTGGAATATGCAATTGTATTCAGTGTTTTATATACAGAATTGATAAAGTTGGGTACTATCTAATTTTACAGAGCCCCAAACCACAAACTAGAGAAATGTTCGGGCTGCAGTATACCAAAACTATTCCAGTGGGATACCTAAAGGTTAAATATGATTTTGTAACCATTGCGACTGGTCAGATTCCTAGATGAAAGGAAAAGGCTGTGCCAAGCACCATGAACTATGACTGCAGACCACATGGTACACAGGAATAGGAGATGCACACATGTATATATAACGCTTATGTATATAAGGGATGATAGGATTGAGGAATATATTAGAAGTAGGAAATAGGAACTGGAAATAAGAAAACGTGGGGGAAACTTGTCTAATGCAATACACCGTTACCCATCACCCTGAGGTCTGGTTACCCTCATGTCCTTCCTTACCAAAAATGTTTAATTCTTTATTTTGCAAGATTACTCTCTCTGGTGACTTATCACTAGAATGGTTATACATCTCATTTTGGCAGGGCAATAGTCCTGTATAATGCCTGGTTTCCAGCACAATTATTAAGAGCAACCTTTTCACTCTCAAAATTGTTCTGTTTCAGACAGGGAATTCCATAGTTATGCTATTATCTCCCATTTAATAGGGGAAGCCAAAGAGAAGATGAGACCTTGCTTAAGGGAAATATTTGCTTTACAAGTAAATTTCCAGGTCCACATCTTTAAAGTGAAGGTTCTGCATATGTGCACACTTGCGCTTATTAGCTAGTAGGAAGAGGAGACACTACCACATTTTGGAAGGCTTGGGCCATTCTTCTTTGGACGTTTGCCCTCTTCAACTGCAACATGATCAGAAAGGCGAACAGCACTGTCAGGCAGGTCATTCCCGCCGAGCCAAGGATAGCTATAAGCAGCATCTTCCCACCTCCGAGTTCTGCTGGTACTGTGCAGGGGAACACGGGAGAAGCAGCAGGGTTAGTTTAGGTAGGGAGAGGTGCCAAGACCACCTACGGGAGAAGTCGCAGTGGAATGTAAATGTAATGGCAGCCCTAGCCCTGCTACCTAATTGTTAAGTGACCTAGGACTGCTCATTTATTTTCTGAATCTCGATAGAGTGAGTCTGACACATGGGGTTGTTTTAAGATCTTTTAAAAAAAAAGTGCAAAAGTGTTTTTTAGATGGCAATTGCTAACCATTAGTTGTTGTTTGTTCAAGTTTTACTTCCAAGTAGAGGCCCAAGCAGATGCATATTGTTGAATAACAGTGAAAATGACTGACTAGATGTATGACTTGAGGAAAGTGGCTAAACCTCTCTGCACAACTTCCCCACCTAGAAAAGCTTTGTAATGCTAAGAGCTTACAGTCTGTAAGATTTTTTTTTTTTTTCTTGTTTTAAAGAGCTGATGGTAGAAATCTAAGAATACCAATTGGAGAAGAAAAGAAAGAAGAAAAGAAGGAAGAAAGGAAGGAAGGAGGGAAGGAGGGAGAGACTAGGGAAGGGTGTAGGGAGGAAGGGAAAGACAGAAGAACAAAACCATTAAATTTAGGGTTTAGGTCTAATCCTTCCACTTCAGTTCCTTATTTAAATTCAAATAAAATTAAATTCAATATATCTTTATGAAAAACAGCTCATAGAGCATGACCCCATCTTCACACAAGTATTCTTTTGTGATCATCTCTCTTTCTGATTATCTCTATGCGTTATGCATAAAGAAATGTCTGGAATAAAAGGGTGAGAGTTTTTGTTTTATGTCTCGTTTTTTAATTTTTCTGTTTGTATTTTACATATAGATAAACACTAGTAACAATGAAAATGATGCATTCATTAAGGGCATGATCTGAAAACTGCAACTTTATAGTTGGCAGACTCACCATTCCTTGGACATTTCAAAAATGTTCCAAAGAATCGGCACAGAAAACAGCTTGTTCAGTTGAAAATTTTAAACCCTAAGTAACCCTCAGGAGAGGCAAGAAATTTTTAGTGCTATACAATTTTCTATAAAAACAAACTAGTCCAAATTATAAATTTGCAGACATCGCCATTTCTGTCTAAATTCCCTTGCACACATCACAAATGCAGAGGGCTAGGAGGTGCCCTTTCAGATAGACTTCAAAGGGAAGGCAGTCCACATTCTGCAGCCTCCCTCCACTTCCAGCCCCTCCACTTTTGTTCATTTAATTACATTGGACAGATTTTATCAATCACAAACACTGGTCAGAGCATGCTTGGCGATCTGTGGGATCTCTATCTCAAAGAGCTTACTCTGCCTGGGGTGGAGGTTAGTGGTGGACATGCAGACAGAATAACCTGGATCCGAAAAGTAGAAGAGAACTCAGAACAGCATAGTGTCACCTAAACTAAAAGAGAAGCGTATTCTGAGAAAGAATGGAGTGTGGTGCTTGGAGCTGTCTGCTGAAGCACCGCACAGGCCTGACCCCACTAAGCAGATTCCACGTTGTTCTTTCTCCACAGAATCAAATTCATATTCCTCAGAGCTGCGATTGCTGCATAGGGAATGCGGACGGGCTAACTTAGTCTGAGGTTTATTAATAGAAAATGGAGCAACAGGATCTCCTTCCCAGGGGCATTTCCATTTTAAGGACCAATCTAGAGATGGTGAAGTGTGTCAGGACAAATGAATTATGTCACATGACACAAACACGGGGTACATTACTAAAGACAGTGGTGCTTTTCTGATACTCTTCAGAAATAATCCTATGTAAATACCTGTCTGCTCTACCAACCTTGAGACTCGGAGAGAGTTGTCAGTTCATGAGAAAAGGTTGGGTTGCTTGACCCTATGTTGTTCTCTGCAAAAATGTCCACCTGGTACACTGTTTGAGGCTCCAGGCCCTTGAGCTGATACTGGGTGATGGTGGCATTTTTGATCTTCACATCGATGTGCTGGTCTTCATTCTTGCCCTGAATCTTGTAACGGATGATAATTGAAGATATAGAATAGCCATCCAAGATTGTCCAAGAGATCATGGCTGTGGAGTCTGTGATGTTGGAAATCTTGATGTTTTCAGGTTGAGGTGGTAGAACTTGAAATTAAAAAACAAACAATAATTCACTTAAGATGTATTACCATCTCTTAGATTATTATGCTTTTGAGAGAGAGTTAATATTATCTCATGAACTATGAATGGCTAATAGGTATTTTCTCAGATGGTAATTCCAAACAGTTGGCAGTGGACTCAGGCAGACTTGATGGAGTGACACGAGATGGGAAAATGGCAACACACATGTCACATATTTGTCATCCTTGCACTAAATTAAGGCCTCAGAAATTGTTACGCCAAAAAACTATATTACACTGTCCTTGATGCTGGGGAGAACAGAAAGATTATGAGAACTGACATTTATATAGGCCTTTCCATACAGTAACTAATTTTCTCTTCATAATAATCTTACCCTAAGTATTGAGGCCCAAAGAGGTTAAGTGATTCGGCCAATGTCAAACAGTTATTAAGAAGAAATAGGATTCAACTCTTGGCAATCTGACACTGTAATCTATAGTCTTAGCCGCTTTGCCATATGGTCTATCCTTGCCCTAAGTGCATTTATGGAGCAGTAGCAAGTTAGTGTACATGTACGAAAATGTGTTAAGCATTTAGTAGACAAAGTGCTATAGGGATTTAGGAAAAACAGATAATATTCCACGGAGGGGCATTAGGAGGATGAGAAAGAGATGCTTTGAGGTTTTCCAGACATGAAGATGACAGTCACAGAATCACCCCTGCACGCTTGGCGATCTGTGGGATCTCTATCTCAAAGAGCTTACTCTGCCCAGGGTGGAGGTTAGTGGTGGACATGCAGACAGAATAACCTGGATCCGAAAGTAGAAGAGAACTCAGAACAGCATAGTGTCACCTAAACTAAAAGAGAAGCGTATTCTGAGAAAGAACGGAGTGTGGTGCTTGGAGCCGTCTGCTGAAGCACCGCACAGGCCTGACCCCACTAAGCAGATTCCATGTTGTTCTTTCTCCACAGAATCAAATTCATATTCCTCAGAGCTGAGATTGCTGCATAGGGAATGCTGACGGGCTAACTTAGTCTGAGGTTTATTAATAGAAAATGGAGCAACAGGATCTCCTTCCCAGGGGCATTTCCATTTTAAGGACCAATCTAGAGATGGTGAAGTGTGTCAGGACAAATGAATTATGTCACATGACACAAACACGGGGTACATTTCTAAAGACAGTGGTGCTTTTCTGATACTCTTCAGAAATAATCCTATGTAAATACCTGTCTGCTCTACCAACCTTGAGACTCGGAGAGAGTTGTCAGTTCATGAGAAAAGGTTGGGTTGCTTGACCCTATGTTGTTCTCTGCAAAAATGTCCACCTGGTACACTGTTTGAGGCTCCAGGCCCTTGAGCTGATACTGGGTGATGGTGGCATTTTTGATCTTCACATCGATGTGCTGGTCTTCATTCTTGCCCTGAATCTTGTAACGGATGATAATTGAAGATATAGAATAGCCATCCAAGATTGTCCAAGAGATCATGGCTGTGGAGTCTGTGATGTTGGAAATCTTGATGTTTTCAGGTTGAGGTGGTAGAACTTGAAATTAAAAAACAAACAATAATTCACTTAAGATGTATTACCATCTCTTAGATTATTATGCTTTTGAGAGAGAGTTAATATTATCTCATGAACTATGAATGGCTAATAGGTATTTTCTCAGATGGTAATTCCAAACAGTTGGCAGTGGACTCAGGCAGACTTGATGGAGTGACACGAGATGGGAAAATGGCAACACACATGTCACATATTTGTCATCCTTGCACTAAATTAAGGCCTCAGAAATTGTTACGCCAAAAAACTATATTACACTGTCCTTGATGCTGGGGAGAACAGAAAGATTATGAGAACTGACATTTATATAGGCCTTTCCATACAGTAACTAATTTTCTCTTCATAATAATCTTACCCTAAGTATTGAGGCCCAAAGAGGTTAAGTGATTCGGCCAATGTCAAACAGTTATTAAGAAGAAATAGGATTCAACTCTTGGCAATCTGACACTGTAATCTATAGTCTTAGCCGCTTTGCCATATGGTCTATCCTTGCCCTAAGTGCATTTATGGAGCAGTAGCAAGTTAGTGTACATGTACGAAAATGTGTTAAGCATTTAGTAGACAAAGTGCTATAGGGATTTAGGAAAAACAGATAATATTCCACGGAGGGGCATTAGGAGGATGAGAAAGAGATGCTTTGAGGTTTTCCAGACATGAAGATGACAGTCACAGAATCATCCCTGCACTCTCACTCTAAACTCCCTTTAGATAAAAGATACAGGCCAGAAGGGAACTTAGTGATTCTATAACGCCTACAACTCTGACTCAAAGAAAAAATGATTCCAAGGTCTTGCCTTTGATATTAACTATACCTTATATTTGCGAGGCTGTTTACAAAATGTTTCTGTATTCAGGCACTCTCTCTCTCTCTCTGTCTTCACAAACGCACAGGCAGGTAGGTAAGCAATGCTGAGATTTTTAATTATTCAAATTTTAGCAGTGAGAAGACTGAGACTTCAAAAATGTTAGGGACTTGTACGGGTCCCAGTAAGCAAGTAGCTGACCCAGGCCATATCGCTCCATATGAAAGTTACTGCTTATAAGCAAATTAGAACCTTCAAGGAATGTCTCAATGTACATTTTTTTCTGTTCTATATCTGCAGAGATTCTTCCTTGTTCCAAATTTCC